CCAGGGTATTGAGCCTAAAAAATGAGCTTCTCACATTGTAGTCATCACACAATATAACACACACACACTCCCTTGTGGCTGGACGCTGGCATTGTGCCCCACACACACCACACTCCCTTGTGGCTGGATGCTGGCGTTGTGCCCCACACACACATACACACACTCCCTTGTGGCTGGACGCTGGCATTGTGCCCACACACACACACCACACTCCCTTGTGGCTGGACGCTGGCATTGTGCCCCACACACACACACACCACACTCCTTTGTGGCTGGACGCTGGCGTTGTGCCCCACACACACATACCACACTCGCTGGCGTTGTGCCCCACACACACACACTCTTTAAATCTGCTCTATGCATGGTAATATGTGTTACTGTTCAAGTTTGTTTGTAAATGTTAAAAAAGGATGGAAAACATTTTCACATAAATGTTGATACCTTACAATACATATTCTACACACACACACAATGTTCTCGGTTTACATCCTGCACTTTAAATCTGTTCATTGAAAAATGTGTTACTGTTCAGCTTCAAGTTGAAGGACTGTTTCCCATACATTATTTTATACTTTAAAAAAAAAAAAATCTGGATATTTGTCAAGGCCTTAGCACTCTTTAATTTATTTTGTATTTAAAAGTTAGTTATTTGCTATAATTTATATATATTGTTTGGTAAAGTGTGTGTCACTTAATAAAACAGTAATTTGCATTTAAATTGTCAGTTTTAAAGTGCTTTTTAATGTTTAGTCAAAATGTTAACTTGGGGATTTTGAGTTACAGTTAACTAAAATGTTCGATGTAATCGGTTTCAACAAACGTTTTAAGTATTCGACATTCCGTTTTGAGTACTACTCAATTGAAAAAAAAAAAAATGCATATTGGGGTTTAGAGATAATACAAATATTTAAGTTAAATCTACCTGATTTTCATATCTACTGTGCTAACAAAATAGCTAGTTGAAGAGATATGAAAATGTTTAAGTTAAAGATACTTGATCTTTATATGTACAGTGTTAACAAAAATTATTAGTTTAAATAACTTAATATATCCATGTTTCTTTAACTTAAAACAATATGTTTGTCACTTAAAAATTACTAGTAAATAGAACTCAATTGATAAGATTATACTTGAACTTAAAACATTTAAGTTATGGTACTCAAAAATGTCGATGTAATCAGTTTCAAAAAAACGTTTGAGTTCTATTAACTTGTCAGGTTTTACAGTGTATGATACAGCGAGAGAAAGTGAGAAGTTCCCGTAACTTCGAGTAAATTGTTTTGTCTGGAAGGTGTGGGGGGACATAAGCGTGTGTGTGTGTGTGTGTGTGTGTGTGTGTGTGTGTGTGTGTTTTCCATCTGCAGGATGAACATAATACCTACCCATTCATTTTCCTATGGCGGTCAATTCTGACCGAAAACATCATGGGTGTTTCACTGTTGAATACATCACAAAAAAATCAATGCAAGTGGTGATCATCAATTGTATATGTTCAGAGGCCTAGTGTGGAGGATAACATAAGGTCTTGAGGCAATTGGATGAAAAACACAATATTTATGATAAAAAACAAAGTCACTCGGTTACTTTTGACCCGAAACGCAAGAGAAGGGTTACATAGATAACTAACTCAGTATCCCAGAATGCCTCACTGCACAGCCTGCCCAATGGAATTGGGGACATCAAGTCAAAAAAGAAACCCCTTAAAGACATATTTGTATCACCTTTTTCAACGGACGCATGGTGCACATACAGCATTGATTTCATGATGAAAAAGAATCCACTCTCAGACAGACACACGTACAACATATCATTTATTAACCAATATGGCAATTTAAACAGAGAAGCAAAGCTGAGGACATGTTTCAGTGATGATGCTTATGCTTGAATTGTAATCCACAGTAGCCACATGTGCCCACTTTTGTGTCTTTATCCTGGAGAAAGAGAGACAAACATGATAGTTATAAATTGGGACATTTGCTAAATCACTGGGTTCCTGCACTTCACTGTAACCCTGCCATCTCACTAAATATTGTGTCTGTCAATTATTGGACTAGATCAAGTATCCCTATTTAATAAATACAAGTGCACTTTAGCTACATTGAACCCTTCAATCTGATCCACAGAAACCAAGTATTGATTGTTGGTTAACTAACAATAAATAGCCACCATGACATATCATTTCTGATAAAATGCACCGGTACAACTTATCATGTTTTGTCAAAATGGACAATTGGACCACTTTAAATCATTTCATGATATAAGTAGCAGGCTCTTACCAGGTTGATGTAGACTTTGGGATGGCCCAGGGCTCCTCCACCTCCATCACATGACACCACTCTGGCCTCAACTTCAGTCACTGGCTCCTCCGCCACCAACTTGATGGCAAAGTTTGCATTCACCTAGACCCAAAGAATGTGATTTTTGTCATTATTGGCTTAATAAAAAACAGGAAACGGAGAAAGTATAATGCTCTGATTATGATTATTATCCTCTGTGCACACCATATACTTATTGTGTTGTGTGCACATAGTTTTAATAGAGTAAACTTGTATATTGTGTTTACCTTTATGTGCTGAACTTTCTTTTGTAGCAGTCGTTTGAGCATTGTATGGTGAAATGAGGAGCAGTAATGGACTCAAGAACAGGATGCTATTGTTTGACAATATTTATATAATGTAAGATACCATACAAAAGTGTGCACATGTGAGGATGTATCACAGGTGCACACACCAGCAGTGGGGCACATTGACAGGCTCGTTGTTTCTTGTCATTATAGCGAATATACATATTTTTTAAGTTTGTTTTTCATTGCTTCTCTTACCTCTTTCTGCCTGCCAACGAATCTTGCCCTCCTGGGATCCTTTTCATCAAACACCTGAGAGAAAAACACTAAACATTAGAGAAGAAGACAACAGCGGCACATCATGTTTCATATCTTATATTTAGCTCTAGATATGGGGGGGGGTTCGTTTTCTTACTCTATGTTTTGCTAGCTGAGACAAGGTGTCATTGCCTACGCTGTCATTAAAACACGAACATATGTTGAATCACTGTGTATATGTTTTCTAACAAACAAAGGCCAATTTAAAAATGTTAAGGAAAACGTTAAGGGTCAATACGAAGTGCTGTCCGATAATGGAATTAACGTTAGCTAACATTGACACAATGCTAAGCTAACGTAGGGACACCAAGTGAAAGCGATACATACGAATATGATTTAAGCTTACCTGTCCCGTGTGAGTAATGGCCTCGCCGGTAGTGGCAACCTCGACGCTGTAGCGATGAACAGGGACAGCAGAAAGCCTCAAATGTGAAACAACCACCTTAGCATTTCTAGTGAAGGACAGAACTCTCCCCATTGCGGCCGCCATGTTTACAACTGACTGGTTTCCCAAGCTGCACTGCAGAAAACACTGCTATTGGATCGACCGTGCCCTGAGATTTGCTTGCCAGGCTCAAGACACTTATGTGTAACACCTAAAACAAGCCTTTAAATTGACTCATTATTCAGCTACATGTTGTAAAAGTTAAAAAACAAAGACATTATGCATGTTTAATTTGGACAGTAAAGCAAGGTTTCACCAAAGTCAGACAATCAAATTGTCCGAGAGGCCAAACTGAGGGCATCAGTTTAGAAAATTAAACCACAAAACGGAAGTAGCTGTATCCTCACAAGCAAGAGCAGCATTACGGTCAAACTCTGGCGATATAAACCCAACATTTAGAGACTTAAAGCACATTTTAAACAACAAAGGGATCCCTGAAAGGTTTGTTTACGTTATTTAATTGTGGAATAAGACTGTGTCATGTCGGGGACTAACGCGTGTGCCGTTTTTATATCTTTCTTTGCAATGGCAGGTCAAACCCTGACATGCTGCTCTCCTTGGCAGGTCGCTTATTATGGTCGCATAGCTAGCCCAGCATCGGGCTCTACTACTGTATACATTTGTTAAAACTTGTATGTATGTCAGACAGCTCCATGCAAGGATCCATGTGTAGATAGTTGCTCATTGTTTTAAGAATAAGGCTACGTTTAACCAGTATAAGGTAAGGGTTAGCTGAATTAGCAGAGTGCAGAGTTGTGACTTTAGCCAATGGGATATTACAATAACAACAACAACAACTATTTTGCAAACAAAACACTCTAATTCGGCCACCCTTAAATTAGGAAACCACCAACTACCTTAAAGACAGGTACTCGGATGGGCCAAATTGCTAAAGTTATTCCCGGGTTTGAGGACTCATTCCTGCACCACTCGAGCAGTATTGACTCTACAGTTGACCCCTAGGATAATGGCTCACTTATTACTTTGGGTGTCAATTAATCAATAAACAATAACCCAGGGGACTACAATTAAAAATGCTTTTTTTCTTTTTCTAATATTAATTCTGCCCCCTTAACAAGGCCTTGCTTATTTTCTCTGCAGTGCCAGTGATTTTGCTGCAGACATTGACCACCATATTAAGAACATTCTATGAATCTATGTGTTCACCTTTGATATTAAAACCAGAACATCGATATTGGTAACATTTGTTTTTAGGATCCTGTCAACTTAAAATGTTCATTTCCCCGAGACGAAAGAAACACTTCTGTAATGTTTTGTATTTCTCTCAAATGTCATTTAGTTGTCTTGGAAATGTCCCAAATACTTGTAGGACTCCACCATTTCTATAATCTGGAAATGAATAACTGTACAAGGAGAGGAGTGATGATACCTAAACTCAAGGCACGTGCCAGTAGTCTTTGACACTGTTTTTCTTGCTGTTATGCAATATTTGACACATCTAAGAAAAACAAGTAAGGGCATTTATTGTTTATTTTTCTCAAATAAGAGTTAGAAAACAATAAAGAAGCAACACTTAAGTCACATCACAACATGACACTAACCAACTCCCAGACTTAAAATATGTTTGTTATGTCACAAGGTCTTGTTTAGCAACTGTAATGGCACATGAACGATATGATGATTTCTCCGTCTCTCTCTGCAGCATTTGACAGCATGGCGTCCCTCCTCTTGAAGCACCTGGCTTCCTCCCTGACCCGACAGGTGGCCCAGATGAGCCGGTTAAATCTGACCTTCTCTTCACCAGCAGCAAGCGCCTACAGAAGTCTCTGCATCCTCTCCACAGCTCCACACACGCTCCTCCTGTCGCCGACCAGAGTCAGCTCCATCCAGTGCTGCTCATCCGGCTCCTCGTCTCCGTGTGGATCCTCTCTGTTGGGACAGTGTCAGCATCTCCCCTGCAGCCAGCCCTCTGCAGGCATGAAAACCAGGTCTGCCCTGAGGAGGCGCTGCAACGACTGTTTCTTTGTACGGCGGCGGGGGCGCTTGTTTGTTTTCTGCAAGACTAACCCGAGACACAAGCAGAGGCAGGCATAACATGATAAAGAAAATTGCTTTAAGATTGTGAGAATTTTGAAAAACTGATGTGAAATAAATTGTTTGGCTAAAGACTGTGTGTAGCTCTTTTATCGCCCTTTCTGTAAACCATCATATTCTATCATTTTGGTACATTTTAAAATAGCTATGTATAATTTAAGTTTAATTAAATTACAGTTTTTTTCAATTGCTAAAACACGTTTTTTGAAAGCAGGGCTTATTTTCTCAAAACACTTAACACAATTCACAAAACCACACACAAAGTGCAAAACACCTCCTATATACTGCAAAATGAAGCACTGCACTCAAAACTACATACACACTTACCGAAACCAAACACTTCATTCATAGTACAAGACACTTTATCCAACCAACTACACACTGTGGTGCTCTATCTAAAGCACACACATGTTGTATGGTGTTCTGTATGTAGAGAATTCTGCATATAAAGATTGTTGAAGTCTACAAAAATATGTGCAGGAACACAGATATACTGTTGTTATTGGTGCAACATTCATGCACAACACATAGTTACAGTTGTGTAAACAAAAATGATGCCTCAAATACAAGGCAAAAACATGTCAAATACAGTAAATGGAAAGGAAAACTTTGAGGAAAAAGAAATACAACAAATATTTTTTTAAAGAAAACAGGAAAGAAAAGGCTGCATCTCGCCACCCAGCTGGGTCTGGCCACAGCGCCTCATCCACATGCAGAAGAAGCATGCATCCATTGACCTGACGGTCACACAGTTTCAACCGTTATGCTGCAAATAACTTTATTGCATTTGCTTAATCTTTATCAAATATGTTTTATGGCCAGACAGATTTAAAAACAAAAATAGAGCCCAAAATGTTCTACCAGGCTGGGCATTCAAACCCACTTCTCTTAGAATTTTAGATATGGCCTAGCTGCTTTAACCACTGAGCTATACAGCAGCTTAAGGTTTTCAAATCCGGCAGAACCAATCACTGGTCTGCCACATGTGGAAGCCCCTCTTTAGTTTCTCACCTGTGAGCCCAGAGTAAAACATGTTTGTGTGCACAAACTAGAGGGGGACAGCAAACACCAGTGTGATTTTGGTGACAGTACGCCTTGGACATAGTTATAGTGGGGGTGCCAAATCCGGCAGCACCAACGCCTGGTCTCCTCATATGGAAGCCCCTCTTTAGTTTCTCACCTGCTGAGCCCAGAGTAACATGCTTTAGTGTGCACAAACTAGGGGGGGACAGCAAACACCAGTGTGATTTTGGTGACAGTAGGACTATCTTGGACAAAGTTAATATGTGCAGTGTTCTGCAAAAAGTACCAAGTTGAATTGCAAATTGAGTGCAGAGCTGAACATGTGTTTAGAGTTTTGGAGATTTGAGCTGAGGTTTTGCTCTTTGAGTGTGAGATTAAATAATTCTTCTTTATGTGTCATGTCAGCAACTTAAAAAAACTGCAAGAGTATGAAATGGTAAAGAAAACACAATTAAAACAAACGCACTTTTGTTACATAGCAACGTATTTCACAGCATTTATCCGATTATAGCCAATTTGGCTTTAATTATCTAATGTAATTGTTATTGTTTGCCTTTCATGGTTAACTTGGGTCTTATATATTATCACAAAGCCTGTTTTATTTCAGATTCCTTTTCATCATTCCTCCACATGAGGGAGCCAAAGTCTTGGGTTTGGGTAAGAGCTATAAATACAGGATCCAACCATAGACTTAAAGGTCCAACCTGCCATAAGGCATCAATTTGACTCCCTTTTTCTAATGAAGTGATACCTTTTATATTAAAGGTATCACTCTATGGTCCCTATAAAATAGTCTTTGCCCATATCTTTGTAATATTGTGTCTAAAAACGATACATTTTCTTCTAGGTTAACATATTCTTGAGGTGATAAACAAGTTGTTACTCCAAAAATGTATAGCCTACTTTTCTATCATTGTATTAATACTGAAAAACAAGAGGAATCACAATGCACACAAGGGTATCGAAAGGCTGTAACGTTCAAACTACAGGCATTGAAACCTGACAGGGTTGAAAGGTGTTTGGGAACAAACACTAGGTCTCGACTGCGGGTCAGTGAGCAGCTAGATTTATGTTATTAGGTGTCTTTAAAAGAGGTGTACAACGTCAAATATCAGCATTTCGATTTTTGGTTATAAGCCACATTGTACGATGTAAATTGGCCATCTGCAGCTCCCAGAAAGTACAAAGTCAGCTTAAATGGGACAGTTGCTGTTATCTAAAAATAAAAGACACTGTTCATTGGTGGATGAAGCAGCAGGACACAATACTTCAAGTGCAAACTAAATCTCACTGAACCCAAACATCTAAAACACACATTCCACAAAAATCTTCTTTTCATCAGTTTTGTATCAGTATATGTGTGTATATGTATGTGCATGTTTGTCAGTGACGGCTTAGAAGATTATTTTAATATTCCAGATGTCAACCCTACTACTTGTGGTTTTCATAGAAAGGATGATATCATATTTGTTTACCCAGGTCTCACAATGTATGGGGTTCGAGGTCAGTACACAGTTGTGAGTTAACAGTGCACCGTCAGTCCATACCGTCTTAACCCCTTATAGTTGTATATTTAATGAGTTGAACAGGTTTATTTTATCATTCAATTGTTTTTTTTCGGGCCTTTACTTGCATAAGTGACACGTGCATGTGCTTGGGGACCTGCATGCATCTTGTTTTAATAAGTCTTCCTTGCCTTCAAAATAAAGGCTCAAACACGACACGCTTACACTACTTGATTTGACTTGTAAGCTTAATGTGTAGACTATTTGAGAATAAAGCACATGTTCCATTTCCCAAATGATAACCTATTTTAAAGATTAAGCACATCAATTATTTTTTATTATTCATGCTCAACAACATTTAGGGCATTTTAGACTTTATACAAAGATGCACATACTCAAACTTTTCAAATTAATTGTCATTACTTTTGTATTTCCCCGCACGTGTACAGAAGAGGTTTAGGGCCATGGGAGACGTTTTATTTTGGAATGTGACCAAATAAAATTCCGAGAAAGAAATGTGTTGGAGGAGATAGTGAAGACAATAGTGAAAAGGGTGGAAATCCCCAGTACCGTATGTATATAAGAAACCACCTTTTGCAAGAGGGTTGTTTGATATGGGAATTAATGTGTGGGGATTACATTTAAAGTAAAATAATGCAAGGACTAGAAGAGATAGCATCCTTTTTTTTTTAAATATATTGTCTTTCTATTTAGTTATTCAGCAATTATTTGTATTAGACTGTATGTGATTCTTTTTTTACTATCACTACGCACTGTTTTTTACTTGTGTTTTTGTGCATAATATTTCCCGACAGACAGTAATAGACTACTTGTAAAATGTGAATACATGAAGTAAAAAAACTCTGTTGCTGTTTGAGGTTAAAAATATTTAATCTACTTAATATAATGTGGGATGCCTACATATATAACAATGCATTATATTATATAAAGCTATAATTTAATTATTTTTATCTGAATTGGTCCCAGAAAACACAATATTTACTTGAATTATTGTTTTTTGTTGTAAAAACACATTGAACCTGAAAATAGAGTTGAGGACACACCTGCAAACTAACCTTCTCAATCAAAACTCCTACTCCATGTTGGATCATATTATGCTGACGTTTATATGGAACATGACCTTGATATTGAAACATGATTAATATAAACGCAGGGTGATGATGAATGGCTGAACTGTAGGGTGGTGAACACGTGAAATGTTGCTTGGAGAAAACAGAGTTTGTAAATGGGAAGAAGTGTGCCAAGAACAAAAATATGTCATAGTTGACTTTTGAAAAACAATGGATACAAATCATTAAAGAAACAAGGAAAGATAATATAATGCATATAACTGGCTTTATGTTGTCATGGTGATTCAACAGTGTTCCATAGTTCAAATCTTCAAGAACATTAGAACCCCTTCATAGCTAGAGATTCCTAACCAGCTCACTCACACACAAACTGACCATCTTCAGAGACACAACACAGTTTTGTCCCTTCGATTAAGTTGAGTTTTTGTGATAGTAATGGCGTTTTACAGGACACTTAAATCTCTCCTGTCCCGTAGGCACGCAAGGAAAAACTTTGATGTAGGGAATGATGTAAGTAACCAACTCAACCCCTTCCTGTTGGAAGATAGAAAGGTGGGGGGCTAATGAAAGTTTTACACTTTTCTATTCTAAAATGTATTAAGGTATCATTCACCAGCACTGTTTTAGCTTTTAATCAAAGCTGATTGAAGATTTGAGCATGTTAATCCGGTTTAAAGGAGGATCATCCCTCAAAACGATGAGATGTAATACACAAACATTTCTCTGGACAATTCAGATTTTCAATTAAACGGGAAACATGTCTTGTTTTTATACATTCCTTTAATGAAAGATGTTAGGACCTGGACACTTATTTTTATAGACAGATCAGTCTCTCTTTGAACAAGCATCACAATGAACAAGTAGTGTCTTGCAGAGATGGGGACTCGAGTCTGTGACTCGGACTCGAGTCGCACTTAAGTCGCACACACAGAGACTTCAGACTTGACTTGGACTCCTGCTCAAAAGACTTCAGACTCGACTTGGACTCGTGTTTTGGGACTCGTGAACAATCATTGTGTTTTCTATTTTTGGCGTATTAAAGGTGGGGTAGGTAAGTGTGAGAAACCAGCTCGAGATCGCTAGAATTTGAAAATACACAACCGGAGAAAATCTGCCACTTCCTCACAGAGCCCCTCCTCCAACACACACGAACGCGCACATGACCAATGAGGGCACGAGATAAGTTTGTGCCCCGATGGAGACTGACAGGCAGGTAGGCCATCCAGTTACTTTAGCCGGGCCGGCTATCGGGATGTTAAGAGCATTCCATGGAATATAACAAGAAGTGTATCTCGAGCCGGTTTCTCAAATTTACCTACCCCACCTTTAACATTAACATCATGGTAACACCATGGCGACCGGCGGCACACCTGCAGCTGTACCGCTTGCAGGTTCAACTATAAAAACTTCGAACAAAAACGCCGGCGGCACCAACAAAAGGAGCGCACACTGCAAAGTCTGCAATATTAAAATCAAGGATGCTGGTGCAACAACGTCAAATTTCATCAGGCACTTGAAAACTCACCCGGAGAGGTCAGTCACATTAACGCATATGGACGGTTAGCAAACATGTTTAGCTCAGCATCAGCTATGTAATGTTAACTTAGCTTGCTACTAGCTTTGTAACTGAATATTTGAAAAGATGAGTGAATGTTTGCTTGTCACACTTGTTTGCGTTGAGTGGCGTTGACATCCAACTCTTGACATGACATAAAAAAGGTCGGTAACGTTAATCATTACGTTCCGCTGCCACCATCTACTGGCTAACGTTAAACGTAGAAAAATACATAGTTACATACATAAATACATCTGTCGGTTTATAGGCAGGTTACAGGTTTATTGTTGACCACGTAACGTTAATGTTACAGGTTTATCAGGTTACCATTACACTGGGTTTGAGTGAGAGGATAGAGGAATATGTTTATTTATAGTAGACTTAAAAGATGTAATTAGAGACCCAGTGTAATTAAACAATACGGTTGCAGAGGTCAAATTTTAACATTTTTGTCCACTGGCCAAATGGCTAGCCTAGTGAATGTTGAAATGTTACCAGCCACTCAATAGATTGCCATTGTTATTTGTGGCTGGTGCGTGCAACATACAGTACCAGCCACTTGCATGATTTACCAGCATTTGGCTGGTAAATGGTGTTAATGGTAGATATCTCTTTTGGAACAGGTCATGTTTTAATATCACCAGTTCAGTATATTTCAGATAATATTGCAGCAATAGTTTTTTAGTTGCAAATGGCACAGAACAAATGTTTACTTTTAAGTACTTTTAAGTACTTTTAACACAGTTTCCCTGCGGGGGATTAATAAAGTATTTGTGATTCTGATTCTGAAGTGTTTTGCTTATAAGTTGTTTGCATTTAGCTAAAGTGTGATGTTTTTCCTCATATTGTATTGCAATAGCCTGTTTAAAGTGATCATATAACAAACAACTAATCAGTACTGATACTGTATGCTAATAGATATAGGAGTGATAATAATACAGTACATGCTTTGAATTTCTTAGATATAGCTGTGCAGTATTCTTAACAGACTGGATAGCAGCAGACAATAGAAGGCTTATTACAACCAGAAGAGACATGAGACTTTTATTTTTTAGAGACTTGAGACTTGACTTGAACTTGTGACCAAAGACTTGAGACTTGACTTGGACTTGCAAAAAAAGACTTGTGAACATCTCTGGTGTCTTGTGTCAAATCATGTAAAAACGCTGACTTTCCAAAATGAAACAGATCTCTTTCGAGTGTTTGAATTCAAATCATACTACAGAAAAAAACAATGAGCAATTCATTTAAAAACATATGTATTTGTTTTTGTATACAGCCAGAAGAGAGGTATATCAATCAACATGGATCCAGTATACAGTCCAGGATCCTGGAAATCAAGGAAGCTGACAGAGCCAAGAGGGATGCACAGGTTCAGCGTACCGAGAGGCTCTTTGCCTCACAGAAAACCTGCAGTGACACTGTTCTGGAGAGACTGGGATTGTCCCTCCAGCCCCCTGACACCCGAACCCTTCTTCAGCGTCCAACTTCTCAACCAAGGAGACCTGAATCCTCTCAGCCAGGAAGGAGAATCAGGCACGTTTCAGAGGACATGAGGTTGTTGGAAGACAACCCCTTCTTCGAAAAAAAGCTGCTGATGGGCAGTAAAGTGGCAATACTTCATTGTAAAATGGCAAAAGTGGCAAACAAAAACAGGAACACAAGCCCAGACTACTCCCTCAGCTCAATAGACACACACACTCCTGATGAGCTGAGGATCATTCCACACTTAGGTCGTCCTATCAGGAGACCATCTCGTCTACCAGTGATGAAAAAGAAACACAGTGAAGAGGGTATGTATGACTTTATGGAAACTTAAAAGGACATTTAATGACAGTAGAGAAGTGGGAAATGTGAGTAAACATCACCAATTTGCTTTTAATCTGAACAGGCAAGGAGGTAGCCGACGGTTGCATACTCAGAACAGCTCAAGAGAATTTCAAGAGAATTGCAGCAACAATGAAAAAGTTCATGGTTGACGACAGTCCTGCACCAACTCCACCGCCCAGAAGGACCTCGTATGTGGCACGTAAAGCTTGGAAACCCACTTTGAAACCTCGAGCAGCAGCTCCCCCGCCAAAAAAAGCCCCTCGTACCCACATCCAGGCAGAGGCACCCAAGGTTCCCGTCCCTCCAAAAAAAGCAGCCCCTCCCAGCAGAAAAGGACCTCACCGTGGGACGAAACTCAGCCCTCAAAGGGCTGTCCCACAACAATATATGGAGCCTTTGGCCCACCCTGAGGAGGGCCTGTCCAGCTTTTTTCAAAATATTGGCTCAAATGAATGGTAAGACAACAACACTGCAGGAGTGTTAAGATCGATTATAACAAGCTGACATAACCGTCCCAATGCCTTTATTTTTGTCAACTCATAGGAAGAAAAAGCTTTTGGGATTAAAAACAATTCAAGCTATTGCACAAAACCACCAGGAATTACTAACTAAGATTAAACTGCATGAAGTATGCATAGTCCTTGCAGAACAGGTAATGTATTTATTTTAATAGTGTTGTTGTTGTTGCATGTTCCCGTATGCAGAAGTATTGACTCTTTCTTATTGACCATCTAGGTGAATAACCTGCGCTCGGTCGTGGCCTGCGCTGCAATGGACGCATTAGCAGATCTCCACTCTTACCTGGGGAAGATGATGGACCCTGAGGTGGAGCGGACCGGAGGCGCCCTGCTGCTGAAGCTGGCACAGACGACCAACGCCTTCATCCTCCAGCAGGCTCACCTCGCCCTGGACGTGCTGGTGAAGGGATCCAGCCCTGGAAGAGTTATGAACGTTCTCCTTAACATAGGATCGAAGTAGGGAGAATTTACAAAGAGGTGTAGCAGTGTTTCAAGTACATGAAATGTTGCATAGTTCATTCTGACATTCCCATGTTTTTGTCCTTTCTCAGCCACCGTTGTCATGCAGTGAGGGCGTGCACAGCATTGCACCTAGAACAGCTGTTGTACATCATCGGAGAGGATGAGATCTTTGCCTCTGGGAAGATAATCTCAGAGCGTCTCCTTATTGCCGTCAGCAAGATGGCTGTGGACGCTGCATCAGAAGTCAGGTGAGTTACCAAGTCTTAAAGGTCACCTATTATGCAAAATCCACGTTTTCCTGTCTCTTCTACATCAACAAGTGTCCCCTATGTGTAAAGACTATCTGAAAGCTTCAGAAAAAAAGATTCTCTCACTTTTTGTCCTGATCCATTTAAACCTGTCTGAAAATGAGCTGATCAGATTTTGGCCACTTGATGATGTCATAATGATTTTTTGGCTTGTGTAACCATTAGCCAATCACCAAACAAGGTAACCCCCCCCCCACACACACACACACCTTATCACCTGAATCTCCTCCTAGAGCACCATTGTGTTCTTTGTAACCAAATCTCTCTCAGAGGGGCGTGGGGAGGGGCTCCTTATTTTCATCTAAAGTAACAGACAGAGAATCAGCACTTTTGAAACAGGTCTGAAACAGAGGGGATTATGGGTAATGCTGCAATGATCGGTTTGGTGTTTGGAGCCAAACACTTCAGAGACATGTTTTGTATATATCTGAGACCTATAATAAAGTAATGAAAAACAGTATAATAGAGGACTTTTAAATTGTTTAATCGTTGTCATATTTGCATAACCTTTCCTAACATTGTGTTTGGACACTAAATTGCTAAATGCGGATTGTTTATTTCTGAACAGGCTCCATGGACAGAGCATGCTCCTGGTACTCTCCCGGCAGGAGGAGTTCTCTGTCCTGTGGCATAACATCATCCCAATGAAGGACAGGCACCCATTGCAGAAGATCCTGCAGAAGATGAGGCAGTAGAAGCGGAGGCGACGGGAAGACATCGGGGCAACAACAAAAAGTAGACTGGCATGGGGTTGCAGGGGTTAGCTCTGTCAGCTCACAGAAAGTAGGGTTTCAGGTGATCAGGTGGGTCTTTCTGTGTGGAGTTTGCATGTTCTCCCCATGCCAGTGTGGGTTTACTCCAGGTGGTCTGGTTCCCTCCCATAGTCCCAAAGATATGCAGAGTTGATTAATTGTTGTCTGTCTTTATTTGTATTTGTGTGTACTTGTTCCGTTTATTTTTCTTCTGCACAGGCACCATGGACAGATCACGCCTCAGGGACTTGCCCACCAGAAGAGGTCCACGGCCATGCCTACGAATGACCGCTTGCAGGAGATGCTGTCGTAGAAACGCAAGCCAAAGGAACCCAGGAGGAGATTTTGCACCACAGAGGAGACGGGAAGAAAGGAGGACATCGGTTCACTGTGTAATTTAGGCTGGCATGGTGGTGCGGGGGTTAGCTCTGTGGCCTCACAGAAGGAACATTGTTGGTGTCTAGCTCTTTCTGTGTGGGTTTCCTCCAGGTCGTCTGGTCACTCCCACAGTCCCAAAGATATGCTGATTAGGTTCATCTGAGATTTTAAATGATATAATATACAAAATAAATGTAAAACCCATGAATGTTTTTTGTATTGTTATTCGGTGGGAATGATATACCTGAATTGATGTTCAACATATTGCACATTACTCATTTAATTTCAATGGCAGTCAGTTTTTCTTTGTCGCTTTTACTTCAACCACATTCGCAATGAAACTAATTTTACGATCATATTTTCACCTATAATGATCTGATGGAGTGACACTTTTTGATGATTCATATTTTTTGGAAATACTTATTTGTGGCAGTGAGGGAAAAAAGCTAACTAAAATGTGCCTTGAACATACAAAACAACACCTTGTCCATTCATTGTACAGTTTATTTTCTTCTTTGAACATGTAGTATTATTGCTTTTTGTCCTCAATGATTATCCACAGTCCTATGACAGTCATGACTCGTTAGAACAAGGCAGCGTACTGAAGAAAGGCTAAAGTCTTTCTTTTATAACTAAAACCTCTGATTAGCTTCTGGCTTTAGTCATAAAACAACCCTCAGGTCCTGATGCTGACACCTCCAGCCCTGGTCCTCTCCAGTGAAGTCCACATATACCGACATCATCCAAATCTTTTTTTCGGAATAAAAGTGTTTATGCATAACTGCAGCAGCAGTTGATTGAGTGAGGCACTGCAATAAAAAAGGCACTTTGGTAAATGCTGAGATGCAAAGTAACACGATATGAAGATGTTGTAGATTACAGTTATGGTAATGAGAGGAGAAACTATTTTAACAGAAACAACACCAACAGACGATCTGCTCGGTCCAGAAGAGGAAGCAGGAAGTCCCTTAGGTTTGCGTTACCATGACATGGAGTGATGCATGTTAACCAGGTCAGGACACTTGGAGCCTGCTCTCAGTTCAGTTGTATACCTCCCTCCCTCCCTAGGTCACCACAACACAGGGAAGTCCGTTTTACTGAAGCCCGGGTCTCTGCGAATCTCCCAGTACAAGTTGTTGCTCACCCACGTGTCATTGTTAGACTTCCTGCCAAACACAACAAAAGGATTTTCCTAAGAACAAGTAGGTTGAATAACTTGTTCACACAGGATATTGCTAGCATTCGGCTGACGTAATGCCCGAAGCAAGAAACAACAACAAAACCTTGATGCACGCAGATAAGAAAGATCAACATACTTGAAAAAGCGTGGCTGGTGGCTCATGTTGTTTTCCTGCAGCACTTTCCTCCTCTCTCTCTGGAGCTGCTCTATCCTCTGCTTCTGCTCCTCGGCTCCTTCTGTGTTCCCCTCCTCCAACAGCCTGGACCAAGGACACAAAGACAGTGACTCAGGATAGAAGATAATATCACATTATATTTCGTTTAGCTCACGTTTTTATCTAAAGACATTTACAATAACTGCAGTAGGGCTGACACATGTATCAACATTTGATCGGGTCATATCGCAGGAAGCACAATATTTGTAAAAGGCTAAATGTGGTAAAATACCATTTTAAATGAAGTATTGGGGAGCTGCAGCAATGTCCTGTCCTATAAAGTATACTCTACTACAGAGTGAAGAAATCATATCTGTTTGGTACAGACTATCATAATTTCTTTTATGCACGTCATGCCCACCAAAATCTAAATAATCGCATTTAGTTATGTTTCCCAAATTGTGCAGCAAGATACAAACTCAGACAGAAACCTTAAAATACCTTAGCTTCCATTAAAGCCAAACTTTTTAAGAACCGAGACATTTTGTTACGTTTCTTGTGTGGCCATTGTGCAGTCGGACAGCAAACAGAAACATTTTGTTTGAGACTCTGGTTAGGTTAGTATTTTTTGCAGTCGACTTTCAGTTCCTATGTCAATATAGTTACTAAATGTCCTCACTTAACACTTGAAGGTGAAAAAGGCGTTTTCTGTACCAAACAGTTTAACTCTTCATAGGAAGAAAAGCAAACCGGTGTTACGGAGAATATTAACAATAGCACCTTTCTGCTCAAAACGTTTCTGGAACTATGGAACCAGAAGAACTCTAACATGTTTTCACATACAACAACATATTAGTAACCCTGCTGTTTACTGCCACACTTTGATGTTTAATGTAATCGATCCTACAGAAACTAAATTCAGCTCCAGGTTTATTTCCTGAAAAAAGTTCTCAGCATCTCGGGAAAGTCCCTTCAGTGGAAACACTCTAGAAAGCTCTGTCCCTGGTACGCCATGACAGCGTGACAGTCAGCCGGCCTTTTATCATTTACACCTTGGGTTTTCCAAAGTTTTTAGCTTCATGAGAAATGTGTGCTTGAGTACTTGAGTATATGTGTACTTAAGAGCAGTTCTTGAGTAAATGTGTTTAGTTACTTTCCATAACTGAGTAAATCATAGTATAAACACTGCAGATGGATAAAGATGGCAACCTCTGGTCCGGCCTGAAGCGTGTGTCTGTGGAGGGCAGCAGGAGTCTCAGGTTGGAGTCCAGCTCGTTTAACTCCACTGCAAACTGGGTGAAGCCGTAGTACTGGTCTTGCTCCACTGGCATGGGGTCTACACACAAACACAAATGTACAGTTAAACTAGGGCTGAACGATTAATTGATTTTAAATCGAAATCGCGATTTGAAATGATGCGATTATCAAATCGCAAAGCCTGCGATTTTTAAAAACTTTTTTTACATATATATATATATTTTTTTTTCTTGTGTGTCAGTCATCCACACCAATCAGAAGTCCTGTGCTCCACATGTACCAGCCATTGTTAACCAATCAGAAGTGGCCCATGATAGAAGGTGGTCCAAATGGCTTCCAATGGAGCTTTCCTAGATGGTTTGGTGAAACAAACCATCTGAGTCAGGTTAGTAATGCTCCATCACATGTTTCTATGACAGGGTGAATCTTAAACTGAAGCTTGACTTTAAAGCAACCCAACGGAAGTTTCATGTAAATGTAGTTCTTTCACTCGTAGCTCGGGCTGCGGGGTTGCTAGAGACGGGAGCATGTCGATGCGACCTTCCTAGTCGGAGATATGGCCGCATTTTACAATAAACTTCCGTTGGGTCGCTTAAAAACAAATATCGCAAATCGAATCGCGATGTTTGTCAGAAAAATCGCAATTCGATTTTTTTCCCAAAATCGTGCAGCCCTAAGTTAAACTCAGTTTTTTGTTCCTGTAGTGCCTTGATGTTAAAACGTTATATCTGACTTTCTTCGGGACCAATCACTCACTTGATCTCCAGATACACGTGGCAGAAGGCGGGTCTCCTTGAAAAACTGACTCGTGCCATTTTCCAAAGATGGAGTGAACTACTTTTCCATTTGAATCCGTAATCACGCCTTCTATCTCGTTAACTGTGGAGCTCCAAGATCTTGCCTGGATAAAGAAAAAGGAAATTGTTAGCATTTTTTTACATAAAGAAATATATTACATCAAATGAGAGCAGACATGTGACACCCATGTGATTAATACCGTAGGATTTATGTCATGGTTACAGAGGATTGGATCCATTCTGCCTCATTTTACATACTTCGATTGTGATTCCTATACAGCAGAGGGCGCCATTTGTTTGCCTTGATAGTGCTAATGGAGGAGCTATATTTGACTAGGCAGCACTGCTTTGAAGAACACTGCAGTAATCTTTTAGAGGAGCAGATATATGTGTGTGTGTTCAAAAGGAGGATTTAAGGTGCTTACAGCCACGCACCTGACACTGACACTTATGTGAATGTGACTCATACTAAGAGGGGAGAACCAACAGTAATAGTTTGTTAGGTACAATGAGGTACAGCATGTCCCTACAATGGAACTACACTGAACAGGAACAAGACACAAAAACCACTACCTTTCCTTTAAAAGCACATCAAAACTGTGATTTAAACATCTGTGTTTCCTAACCTTGACGAATGTGACTTTACACTGACAGGCGTCACTGTTGATATTTTTGATGGACATCTCTCCGTAATGTTCGATCCAGCGCTGGCCGCTCAGGATGTTATGGATGCAGGACGTGACTTTGTTCCATTCATAGTGGTCCCCAAACCTGGAGAAATCAAACACATACTGGACTTAATACAGTTTGTCTCATTTGCTGTACAGCGTATACTGCAACTAATTACAATGATGTTCATGTAAACACCTTTCAAACACGCAATGAGTTAAAGGTTCAAGGACTTACGCAGGTAGTGTGACATGTGTGGTCCCCATGGGAACAATTTCCATGGATTTGCCCCAGAATTTATTTTTCCATCGAACATCTAAAAGAAACGGGTCGTAAGAATTACAAGGTAAGTGCTAGTGACAATGAACATTGCCATATTGTCATAATCGAACACGGCAAAAGTCAACTGAATAGTTTGATTTTGAGTTTTAAGATAAGGTCACATTATAATCTGCACAGTAATTTCTTATACTGTATGGATATCATGCACATCAGGAGTGGAGAGTAACAGCAATCACCAAGGCAACGTGAGGAAAGAAAGTTGTCTGCTTTAAAAACTGCCCAAAAAACCATTGCATTTTCATATTATTTAACCCTTTATGTTACTAGGTCTTTTAACCAACTTCAGTCCTGACCATCTCTACCAAATATTCATTCGGTCTCAGAACTTCAACGTTTTCAAAGACAGTTTGTTTACATTATTTTAAAAGAAAATAGAAAAATAGAGAAATGTCTGTTTACTAAATGCTACGTGGATTTTCTTTCAGTCTTGGAAATGTCAATGATTAGCAACAACATTGATTTGTATGCTTTTTTATGTGCAGCAAACCAGAAAAATAATCATATGCAACAGGGAGAAAGTGGCTCAAGCTCGTGGAAAACATTACGGATTAAAGCCAGGGCTTAAAAATCCTGAATAATAATAGAATGCATGGTTTCATGCTGTAAGGTTGGAGGAATGTGGCTTAAGGGGTTTCAATGGGGATATGTCTTCCATAAGAGTCTGTATGTCAGCTACACACTTTATTACAGACAT